TCTCCCAAGGTGCAAATGAATCGCCCTTAAACCAAAACTATTTAGCAACCCAAAGCCTTTACATTTATAAGAATATAAAATCAAAGTCATAAAGCATAGATTAATGGATTTCGAATCATGTGGTTATATGAACACAGAAGCACCTTTGTCATGTCGTCTAGTAGGGTTACATGTTTAAGACAACTGTTAGTTTAACATTATGATACAGACACCATATATTCCTTTTTGATATTATAATACATAATACTTTAAAGATTTGCTCAAAAGCCTATTTTTCTGAAAAATACAGTTATTTGGTTAACGATACAAAGGCATTGAAGAGGTTTTGTATTCAGCAGAAAGACAAACACAGATAAATAGCTATAATGGGTAAATTACTGAATTAGGTTGGATTACAGCAGCTAATCCCATTAAAGCAGTTTTTGTTTTTAAGGCACGAATGTAATCAGGGATACAGTTAAAATATATATTTCACAACAGGCACACATTATGGCTAATATGGAGACATTAAAGGGCAGATAGAGTTAAACATTAGAAAACACTCCATAGAGAAAAATATCAAGTTATGGGAATGTACCATCGAAACATTTCAACAGAAAAACTGTATTTCAAAAGATGAGTGTCGCGTAATTTAATGACAAACATTTGTATGAAGGTATGTTCAATGAATCTCATCTTATGGGGTCAGTAGGTTTGGTTTTATTACAGATGGATCAACTTGCACAGGTGCTAGCGATATTTGAAATGTTGGTATTGATCAATTCGAGAGATCTCCTATGTTTAGTTTTTCTAAAGAGGCTTTATGTTTTACCATAACACATTTCCCAGATGTTTTACCACAGAAAAAGGCCTTACAGGTGGTTATCAGGTGGAGGCTCACTTCCGTCCCAATGACTCGGCCAACTTCTTGAGCCTTTTCTTCAGCTCAAGCGGAAACTTCTCATAACACTTTTTACAAACAGGCTTCATGTCAAACTCTACAAACTTGTTCCTGCAAAGAGGGAAAAAAGGAATAAAACACTGGAGTATGTTGGGTGTCAGACTGTTGATTGGGTAACAAAACATCTGAGCAAAACACCTTACACCTAGTTTAGTGTTTTTTTTGTCTGACCTTGTAGTCAAAAAGAATTGTTTTTGAATCTAAGCAGCAGTCCAGTTGAGCTCTGCATGCATACACACCTTTTAGATTCATGCTAGTTTCATGTCATCAACACAAACCTGATTACCAAAGAAATACACAACAAGACAAGAAGTTGACAAGCAACAGTAAAATAAGTAAAAAAAAAAAAAAAAGATAACCACTAGGAGAGAGGGAGGCAGCGGTTTAGAAAAGAGGCTACAGGAAGATAGTTGGCTTTTTCTTGCTGTCTTTAGCGTCTCGCTCACGTCGGGCGAGTCTGCGCTTTAACTCTTCAGGCAAGCGCTCGTAGCAATGCTTACACACTGGCTTCAAGTCAATTTCAACAAACTTATCTCTGAGGTGTCATAAAAGCATCGATTGAGGCGTGTAAAAGAAGACATGGGAAGAAAATGGAGTAAGAAAGAAGTAGTGTTGGAGAACCACAAAAAAATGAACAAGGAAGTATTAATAGAGATTATTAAAGGAAATGAAGAGCACAAACATGTGGTCAAAGAGTTGTTTGTGAATATATTTATAACACATTTCAATACTTACTTGAGGGTGAGTTTGGTGTTGCAGGTGGAGCAGGAGAAACAACTGACACACCAGGCTTTGTTTAAAGCAGACACAACTGTGGGGGGGTGCATAGAATAAAATAAAATGAAGAAAAGATTCAGCTTCTGTAACCTAAAGCAATACTTTGTAAATTACTGAACCATATGAGGTCCTAATTATGTGCTTTATCACACCGATGCTCACCATCGCCTTCAATCACACGGTTGCAGTGATAACACACGTCCCCAAAGAGCTTGACAGAGAAACAAGGTGAAGCAGCAAATCAATTATTTCTCTCTTTACCAGTAATGCCATGTTAGTCATGTCATTCAAAGACGGCTTCTGTCTTCTTACCTGGTTGTAATGAGTCTCACAATAAGCCAAACCCTTTTTCTCATAATGGCGGTGACCAAGGAAAGGTTTCTCACATTTGGCACAAACAAAATGCTGGAAAAGAAACAATAGTTACTAAGGGGACTCTGCAGAAGCCAAATAACAGTGAAACTGATGAGATGCTGGTTTCAATCCAACTGCAACAGAAATGTAGCTGCTAATTAGTTGGAAATTTCTACATGTAAAACTCTTTAAACTGAAGCAGGCTGATATTAAAGCTGAAATTTAGGTTGTTAAAAACAACATTTGGCCCATTATGCAGTCAAATAGAAAAGCTAATTAAGGGGAGCCTGTCAGTTGGGGGGATTTCTTTTTTCACAAGATGTAGCTATTGCGTAGCCATACGGAACATGCAACAGATAAGCAAACTAATCGCTTAGAATTTAACTCGATTCAGTTCAGGGTATTTATATCAGTGTTGTTTTCGTCAAAGATGACGAAATTATTTCGTTGACACTTCTATTTTTCATGAGGATAACGAAAACTGATGAGCCCAACATGGAACTTTAAAGAATAAAAAATTATGGTGTAAGTTTTCGTTGACGAGACAAGACTAAATAATAATGTTAGCGGTTGGTCTGTCAGACATTTAAAATGCATCATTGTGCTGCAATCTGCTAAGCAGTATCAGCCGTGTAAATGTTTCCTTCTATTGTCATTAAAACATTTTATATGTTTCCTTTGAATATTTCAACGTTTTATTTAGGTCTGGGTTGATATGACATTACAAGGCAATAATGTAGGATCTCTCTGTATGTTTTTATATCAAACCCTTTTGAATTGAAATCTACTTTTAACCCTGAGCCGTTGTTAACAAAGGGGTAAATTCTTAAAAATAAAGCCAAAATTGCCAAAGGAGAAAGAAATTTTTTTTTTTGTTCTTTGCTCTTTTGAAGTAATGAAGATTTATTTGATCTGTGTATAATGCATAGTTCATAGTAGATCAGGAAGTTTTTGCTTTGGGATGGAAACCTTGTATGTCTAAAACCATTCCTTTATTGTACATTTGTTAGCTTGTCTATTTATTACTAAGATGTGTTTAACTATATCTGTTATTTTCACAACTTTTGTGAGAAACTTTTTATTAAAGTAGGAATTAATTCATAAAAACGTTTATTTGAATTCTATAAATCAAAGTTTTCTGCCCAACGGCAATGATGAACTGCATGGCAGCATTCTATATCTAGCTATTGCAGATCTAGGCAAGAGCTGTCAGTCTGGTAAAGAATCTGTTTTTTATTCAAAATTGTAAAGATTAACTTGTTTTTTTTGCAATATAAAACCGACTAAAACTATCACATATCGCAATGAATTAAATGTGATTAAGACTAATAATAGTTTTCGTCCTAAAGACTAAGACATCTCAAGAGACGATTCAAGTGGCTCCTACAGGCCAATATATATAATATTTGTGCTGCCTTGCTCGCTTCACAAACTAATACTTTTTTCCTTTATCTTCACTACAATCAAGCTCATCAGGTTATAAATGTAATAAAGCATATTCAAAATGATCAAGATCTGGGAGAGCAACAGTCACGAACCTCAACATGCCACTGCTTGCCCATGGCATTGACAACGCGCCCCTCAATGGGTCTCCTGCAGGCGCCACAGATTGGAACCCCCATCTTATCGTGGCAGGGCAAACAGAAGAGCTCCCCTTTTAGTTCTCTTGCATCAGCAGTTAACTCTTTTCTAGAAAGCAAAAAGATGTTTGTTAAACTTTGAACACCTTTTATCTTTTATTGGTGTTCCGACATTAGGTTTGTGACGATTTCTTTACAATGTGGAGAACAAAACGAAGCCACTGGCACTAACCCGCAGTTGTTGCAGTTGAAGTGGTCCGGGTGATATGGATCGTTCTTAAAGATCAGCGGCTGCTCTTCAATGATAGCATGGCACTTCTGGCAGACATACTTGCCCAAACCTCGTGCCTTCTCTCGATTATGGCATGGGCGACACAAGTGCCTGAGGGAAGAAAAAAAATAAATAAAATCCACTCAAATAACAGGGCTGCCAAAAACATTTCATATATCAAGATATTTTTTGACACACTCCATCACAGCTGCTTAAAATTCCATTATTTGCTAAAATGCAAAGTGAGTCACAAGCTGGGCGAGAGAAGTAATCTGTTCCAAATGCTGCCATGCTGGTTTTTTTTTTAGACTTTAATAAGTTGAGATTACTCACCTGCCAGCATTTTTGACAAATCCCACATCTGCAAGCACTGCCTGACAAATGTCGCAGCAGAAACAGTCGGGGTGCCAACTATTGTTCATGGCCTTAATGACACGACCAATGATGAACTCCCCTGGGAGGAAAGAAAAATCAGCTCCAGATTGAACTGAGAATGAAAATCCACTTTTTTTGTTTTTTAATCCACTGCAGGATTTTAGAACAAATGCCCTTTGCTACAGTTTTATGATGTCCTTCTAGAGACAAAGGAAAAATTGAAAAAATATATATATATAATCTAAATTAGACTCAGAAACAATTCTTGTCCTGCAGGTTCTAAGCAGGAATGTTAGATGGATACTTCAAGATGAACAATGGGATAAAAGTAAACATCTGCAAAAATAAGTCAAGCTACATAACCAACCAAAACCAGAAATCTGTAAACTATTGATTTTACCACTGTCAAAACAAACTCCTCACACTCCCAGTAGTGATGACTGGATTTCTAAAATGATTTTAGACTTGAACACAGAAGAAACTAAACAACCATTTAAAACTAGCCACCACTTACCACACTGGTGGCAGCAAGGTGCAAAGAGCATCTGGAAGTCATGTTCGCAGTATTTTCTGCCTTCAAACTGTAAAAGAGAAACATTGAGGAGGTTTATTGCACACTGTGCAGCAGGTATTACTCACTACTGTATTGAATTGTGAAATTTAGAAGAAGACTGTAATTATGTAGTATGCATGAGTAATACCTCGTAGAAGAGTCCCTCTGGAAACTGCTGGAAACACTGGGCACAAACAAAGCACTGCTCGTGGTAAAGCTCTCCATTGCTGTTAACAATCTTCTCAGTTGGAGCAAAGCCGCTTTTACACCTCTCACAGACTGCACTGACCAGGGCATTCGCAATGCTGCGACACATCAGACAATAAAACAAGTAAGTAGATGCCTTCCCTTGTTCCTGCCCTTGGTATGCAGGTTAAGACCATGTTTATCATTTCTCACATAACTCATATATCTGAAGCCGGATGCATGTCAGCAGCTGTGACAAGAGGAATAGGAATAATGAACTCACTGTTACTCACTGTACGGACATCACCTAATTTGGTCAGACTAGTGAGACACTGATGTTAAACACACACCCACACACACATTATATATATATATATATATATATATATATATATATATATATATATATATATATATATATATATATATATATATATATATATAAACACACCACTATGTGAACAAGTATTCTGCCTCTTAGGGTTCTTCTGTTTATGCTTCGATCACACTTAAAGAGTGATATTAAATTATGACCTGAATGAAATTTCCAAACCATAGCCTAAGTGAAAGAGTCACCTACCATCCAATTAAGAAATAAATTAATAACTGGGTTAAATCACACTGATTCACTTCCATTTTCCCCAGAGTCACTGCAGACCTGATTACTGTCTGACTAGTAGACCTAATAAATGACTTAAATACAACTGTTCTCAGAACATCAGGCAGGAGCATTTGGGATCGTATGCAAAATGATCTCAAAAAGCAAAAAGTCTTGCACCGATGTATATAAAAAGAAAAAAAAAACATATCTTTCTTTTAGGTTTGTAAAGGGTTTAAATCTAAATTAGAATTATAGTAATTAAGTATATCAAAATGATCACAACCATCAACAAGTAAATAAAACATAAAAGGTTCAGCCTAGATCTGTCCTTGAAGGGCTACTTTTATTTTAATTTCCTAAAAAGGGTGATTCCATAACACAAACAAACCCAGAACATCTAAAGCCTCAATTGCAAAGTCAGAGAATGATTCAGCAAAAACAAAAAGTATGTGGGCCTTCCAAAGAAGCTGGCACAAACCAAAGCAGGTCAGGAAAGGAACATTTCACTGATGATGGAAGGATGGTGCTCTGGGTCTGAGCAGCTTATTTAGGACCCAGATAACTTCTACAAATTCATTCTTCTATACTGCAATTTCTAGATTTATCTCTGCTTCAACACACTATAATAAAAGGGCTGAATTCCCTCATCAGTGTGTAATTCAGCTCTGCATAGGTCTGATAACCAGTTATGTGTTTGATTCAGGTGTCCTGGAGAACAGGTGCACCTAAAACCACCAGATAGTAGCTGTATAGGTAACTAAATAAACATTATGGTAACTAGATGATCACAGAAGGACGGTGTTGAAGTTGACCCATTCATAGCAAACTGTTGTGATAAACGTTTCTAAGCTATTGAACTATTGAATTACTGATAAATAAAACCTATTGAAAGGAGGGGATGGGTAGGTAAAGTACACGAATTTGTTCAAAGTTTAGACAGACTAGTATAGCTAGGATCTCAGCCACCTACGTAACTTTGCTAACAAAGATTAGACACTTTTTACCATTAGAAACCAAATCTTTTAAGTATCCAAAACAAAACGGTAGCAGAAAAAAGACTATTAATGAGTTACTTTGCATGTAAACATGTAAACCAAGGTGCTATCTTTCTCTTCTATGTGGTTAATTTGGTAAGCTAACATGACGTTAGCATTAGCTACTCATTTGCAAAGCTAGTCGTTTTCAGATTTAATGGTTTAAAGACTCTTTGTTCCTACCTGCCCGTCATCCCAGCGACCCCTAGCATCACCTCCTTTAGCGCTGTCTGAGAGAAAACACTCACAAAACAGCACTGTGCTTTTTTATTCGCACTGAGTTACTGATTTCACCAACTTTAGAGACCCTGTACGACTCAACGAAGCGAGCATAGCTATGCTAGCAGAGCCGTTGGTCGGGGAGTGTCCGGGGATGGAGGACCACAGATAGGCTTCCCAAACTGCGGGTCGCGGATCCAGCATGACCCCGTACCACTATATAGAACATATTCGATACTTGATATCATTTTTAATACAAGGATAAAAACAGCACAACATTTAACAGAAATATTTTTACTAATAAATAAAATGCAATAAATAAATACACTAATAAGAATGATATTAGGTTGTATGCTGTGCACATTGTTAAGCTTTATAAAAAAAAATAAAAAAAAATGAAATAAATGTTCCTTTCTTGGCTATGCTTTACACACACAATGACACTTGCCAAACCAGTTAACAAATAAAAATAAATGCTGTGTTCTGGGAGGGAAGAGCATACCTTGGGTTTAAGCTGCTTAATAAGTTGTTGGAACCCAGGTTTCTACACAGTTAAATAGGAACTTGATCCACTTCAAGAGAGAAAATAACTGTTGTGTGGCATCGATACTTTTGAAAATGAGCATTGTGCTGGATACGTTTTAGTATCGATACCTTTGACAACCCCAATATATATACATATATATAGATTATAGAATATATATTATATATTATATATATATATATATATATATATATATATATATATATATATATATATATATATATATACACATACACCAAACATACACAGTTCTTCACTAGACCTGTGTATACTTTAGTATATTCTGCTTTAAGGTGAGTGTTATATTTTCTTTTCTCTCTGAAATGAGTTTTTGGAACTTGGGATGAATACATATGTATATATATGCATATTTTAGACTACCACTTGTTTAAGGATATTTGATCTGTTTATTATCGTTTACATTTAAGAGTTACATATTATCCCCAATAAATGTATAAGTGATGCATGTCTCTAAGCTTCTGTTACACATATACTGTTCATAGTGCGAGTTCTCTAATCCCGTTAACTACATATTTGTTTACAGACATGTTCACATTTACAAAAAAAGACAGATAAAGAGACAAATTACTTTTCTCTGTTTAGTTTATATTCAATATGGAGGATATTAAATGTAAGTTGAAATGTAATAGCCATATGTCAAATAATTCCACACAAGAGTTGTTTTAACCAGTATTTTTAATGACATTATAAACTATCGTATAACTCTGGGGGGGAAAGTACAAGTTCCTTTCAAAATAAATCTCAGTATTATACAGTTTTATTTAGAGAAAATATAACTTAAATGCAGCTGAACTCTCAAAAGAAACAGCAGCTCTCCATCCCATGCGTGAGATGCGACAGTAACGCACTTGCACGGGTAATAAGAGGCGTTTAACCACACTAACCAGCAGATGGCATGTATTTACAAACACAACAATTCAAATCAAAGTATTAGTTTTCATTAATGGGGGCGGCATCAACACAGGATGGATCTATAACAGAGCAGCAGGATATTAGATGTACAAATAATAGAGACACATTGTGTTAAATAAAAGATGGCTGCACCATATCAATTTAAAGTAAAGCATAGAGTGGGACAGCATTGTTCTAGAAAAACAGAAATGAGGGGTGTAGAAGTCATCATAAACCTTTTTCTATTTCAACTGAAGTCAGTTTTTTCAGCATCCAACATTCGCCATTTCTTTGAACTTTCGATAAGAATTTAGCCTTTTAGTGCTTTGTATTATTTTAAGCAAGTCAGTTCCATGTCTCCTTTCAGTCAAACGCAAAGGCTTCTCTCCTTCACTGAATAATCAACTTTACTTTCTAACATCAAGTTAATAACTTCATTGTTAGAAATTCAATTTTTTTTACATTTTGGTAAAATCAGGGGTTCAAAAGATTTTCCTTATTCTTTCAAAAAAAGAATCACCATATTTTTTGTTTATATTGTCCACAGCTTTTTTTCTTTTAATAAAAACCAAAATGACCACAACACCAATATGTTTAGTTAAATATATTTATATCGAAAGTTAAAAAAACCTCTATAAATCTTAGGGATTCATAATTGAATATGTTTTCATTTTCCTTACTGCCATAAACCTACATTAGGTATTTTAACTCGCGTAAACTAGAAAACGATTATAGTTCCTCCCTCACGTAGACGACAGTAGTTTATTGTACTCCGTCATTTTTTGTTTCCAAGTTTTTTTATTCTCATATATTACCTCATAGTTCCAAATTATTAAAGTTAAAATGTTTAAGATAAAACAGAATTAAAAAAAAATTATAATTGTAAAATAATTACCACAAAAGCTTGCTTTGCCAAGTGTGAGACCTTCATTAAACAAAAGGTGAAACAAGCTATACATTACATGTGCAATTATACTGCATAATAACATCTGTACTTTAAATATTAACAATTTTTGGGTATGTACAGGATAATTTGACATACAGAATTGATACTGTCATAGTTAAATGACAAAAAACATAATTAAAACAGTAGATATTTACAAGATCCTCATGGCCAGCCAGTTGTTGTTGGAAACAGGAGATGATAAATTGAGATAGGAAGTAGCGCTCTATGAAGGAAAACCGTTAAGAGCTAAAATATTGGACAGAAACCATCTCTGCGTATCAGACTGCCATCTCATGACCTCCACCGTCTGTATCACATAGAGACAGCTTCTTTAAAAAGACGAGTTAACAACACAAATAAGATTTAAAAATATATCTTCCACAACAGTTCACACACAGATTAACCACAACCAACCTAGCTTATATTGCTGATCAACCTTTCTAATGCATGTACTGCTATTACCTTTTTCCTACCACGAAGATTAAACAAATTACCCTCTGATCGACCTCACGCACATTATAGTGTGCAGACAAGTTATACTTGGTTTATTAAATCCATCTCTATGAAGCTGCTTCCTTTTATTAAAAGGATTTTATTTATACCCTTACAAGGCAAAAATATCTACTATATTCTCATATTTACATAAAGTCTCTGCCTGCATCTCACCAACAAAGACATGGAACCGGTTCTCTGTGACACGTTATTCCTCAAAGCCTTACAGATTCCAGAAGTCTGCAGAAACCAAACAAATGATGCACGGATAAAAACAAGCCTGAAAGGCTCAGGAGAGAAACATGCTAAATGATGGAAGTGATTAAATTATATACGTACATGCATCTGCGAGGTGGTGCTGTAATGAATGAAACATAAAAAAAAGAACAAATGAGATCAAGAACTAAGAGGCGTTGTTGCCTTGTACCTGTAAAAATGAGGAAAACCGAATTGAAACCCCCACCGAACCTTTACATTCTCCAGCTGTCTACCATGTGGGCATCATGTCTGGGAACCAGACGCGACCCAAATGCTTTGACACCTCCCAGTGGATATCGTCCAGCTCGTAACGGTGATCAGGGACCAGCACTTCCTCCATGATGGACAGCTGTTTCAGTCTGTCTCCACACATCTTCACAAACTCCACGAAGGCGCTGCAGGACACTTCGCACTCTCCCAGGCCTATGGCGGAAAGCTGCGTGCAGCGCTGGGCGATGCGGATGAGCTCCTCGTCCAGGGGCCGCAGCCCGTTGGCGCACACCACCAGCTCAACCAGACGGGGGCAGGTGAGCCCAACCCGGCCCAGCACGTCTTTGCTGACGGAGCGGCCGAAGTACAGGTGTGTGACGGGGATTTCGTCGCGGAAGAAAGGGTCGAACTCTTCCTCGTAGAGGTAGAAGTACATGACCAGGTTGAATTTGGGGGAGTGGCGCACCATGGCGTCCCAGCTGCTCTTCTTGATAGTGTGGAACTGCTGGCCTGGGTTCTCACTGACCACGTCAATGCGAAGGTGCTCCAGGTGAACATGCTTCTCTGAGGAGAGGGCGATGAGGAGTTCATCACTCAATAAGTGGTAGTTCAGAGCCAGTTCTCTCAGACCGTGGCACTGATCAGCCACACACATGATGCCTGGAAACAGAAGGACAGAACCTGTTGGAATCTACTGCACAATGCCATGGTAGAACTGTTACAATCCAACCACAACCTGCAGCATATTTACAAGAATTTCATGTCTTAGTCATGCAAAGTAGTCAAGAAGCATTAAATAAAAGGAAAATTAGACTAAAAAGATCTAATTAATCTACCTTCAAGTGAAGCGGAAACCTCACACATCTATACATAGCATCCCCATAGAGACACATAGCGGTGGCAGAATCATGCTGTGGGGATGCTTTGATTCAGCAGATAAGATGGTCAGAGATGATTTCAGATTAAAAATAAATAAAAAACAAAAATTCCCCCAAAATTCTCCAATCTCAGCCACCCGGACTATGCAGCCAGAGTAATAATTGACGTTTAATTAGCCCAGTTAGGGTTCTCACCAGGATTTTTTTTATGTCCCTTTGCTAGTTAACCCCACTCCATTTTTTTCCCCTCATCCTTTCTCCATGTTGGAGGTGAAATCTTTCCATAATAACCAAACTATATGCTTGACCCAGAGACGCTCTGATCCGCCTGCAGTCGCAGGAAGGCAGCAACACACCGGCAATGTTGCATTGTAGTTTGTTAAAAAATAAAAATATTCTGACCATCAGTCTGTTTGGCTTGACAGATGGGTTGTTTGGGAATCTTTTCGTAACCTGGTGACCTCACCCCTGCTTTCAGAGATGTCTGCAGGCGGGGCGGTAGGTCATGTGTTCACCTGCCTGCAGGCGCTCAACATGAGTCGCTGGCAGAGTGAAAGGTGCAAGGTTCAGGTTTCTACAGCACTTCTCACATGCATGTGCAAATGAAAATGTAAAGGTGTTTTAAAAAAACAGTTTCTGCAGCTGTTATGCTCATTAAAGTCTATGTAATAGCCCAATTTCAGCGGCATTTTGACAACTTTCGGTGTAACTGGTTTGTGCTGAAATATATTGGAAAGAGCCATATGGGGAGGGTCCCAAGAGGTCAGTCACAGGGCCGACATGTTCATAAAAATTGTACGCAACAGCCCGCTACAACAGAACCCTTCTAGTCAACGCATATCTGTACACCAAGCTGAGACATGCAGCTGTTAATACAGCGACATGCTGTAACTACAAATAACTGCTTAAGGAAGCCTGAATATCAATGAGCTCCAACCGTTTCCACCGACTTTGTAACAAAATGTTAAAAACACTGAAGATATTTTGTGTTGCAGTTTTAACGTGAGAAAAAGTAAAAAAAAAAAAAAAAAACCTTGAGGAATTTTACAGCCTTTCAAAGACAAACTTTACAACAATTTACCATCTATGTTATTAATTTGGACGACATTAGCTATAAAATGGCAATTTGTTTTTTGTTTCAGGGCATTTAAGAGGAAACTTGGTGCCCATTCTAATAACAACTTTACGGAAAATACTTCTGATGATTGTGAATCTAGAGAAGACTGGACAAAACTACATAAAATATCAGTTTGGACTCATGTATGTGAGCTGTATGTAATTTTATCTGAACTCTTCCTTTAATATGATGAACACTCCAAGAGGACTTTTATGTTGAATTTCCCCAACATAAATGAACTAAACTATATTTATCTTAGAAAGAAATTATGTTCTCAGCGATAATGAGTCAGTCATTAATAATTAACAGCAATAAAGCAAAGCTTGTGTCGCGTTAGTACCTGCAGGAGAAACGTGAGGGCAGCTGCTCATTTTCAGCAGCTTGAGTGTGTCGCTGTTGTTGGCCACCAGGACTTTAAGAGAAGGGTCATCCACAGGCGTGTCGTCGATTTTCAGAGAGGACAGGGATTTGGAGTTGACAAAAACCACCGTCAGAGCAGAAATAAAGTGGGACTGTGGAAGGACAATAGAAAAAGAGACATTTAGTGAAGCAAACCTGCAGAAATACTGAGACTTAAAGCTGTTATGGTTTACAACTATAAGGATGCTTTTCTGTTGGTTTTATCTGCACCAAAGTATGAGAATATTTTCAACCTAATGGTTAAACAAAGGTTGTTTTTTTTAAGTTGAAATGGGATAAATAATAAGATACTGTAATAAAATATTGATTAGCAAAGACTGTGACCACACTAATCTAAGTCTGAAACCATTTTACCCAACTTATTGATGAGAAACATGTTCCTTTTAAAAGCGATGCCACTTGAAACAACTAATTAAATGCCCTTTAGTGCTTGCTGCTTGTTTCCAGGGAGATTGGTTTGAAAAATAAAGCATCAAAGCTAATAAAAAAAAAAAAGTGAAGTTAAATTAGTATAAGTTGAACTAATGAAACTACAGACGGGACAGTTTAAAATCCAATAAAATAACTGTTTATGAAAGTGATGTTCAGTAATAAATTATTTATCTAAAGCAGAAATCCAATCAGAGTCTTTAATTGTTTTAGGTTCTGTAAATCATGCAGGACACTAAAGCAAGCAGATTTTAGGAGTGATTAAATTAAGTTTTCAATGACTTTGATTATTTTTCTTCGTTTTCTTGTAAGCAATACAACAACCAATCTTTTATCTACCAAAAGTTGGACACAACCACATCCTCTCCAGCTCTCTGCTTCATCTAGTCTACAAGAAATTTACATTTGCCAAGGAAACTGTCAGATTGTATCTCCCATGGAAGAGGTACCCAATCCGTACCGGAAGTCCGATCCGAACCATCAGCTCATTTGCACAAGCAGATATACATCCTCTTGATTAAAAATGTTTTTCCATCCTTAAAAATAACAAGCGCACTAAACTAGAATGTGTTGAAGGTTAATAATGCATTTCCTGATAAAATAAACACTCAAATCCTACTATATTCACTTGTCTGTGCTGGATAGGGATAATAGTCTACTTTCTCTATGTTTTTTGGCTTTGGATTTAAACAGAAATCTAGTCTTTTTGAGTTTTATGTTTTCCTTTATGGTATATAGTGGGTAATCTAAAGAAAGAAACAGCTAAAATGCAGATAAAAATGGTGAAATCATATTTTGTGGGACTGCTCTGAGCATGTCCGATGATGATGTCAGAGAAGCAGTTTAACGGAGAAAATGTAAAAAGCATCAAATTGTCTCAGAAAAGTCAGAAAGATTGTTTTAAAGATTTGTATTAGCATTGTTTAGTGATTTAAGGGTAGAAATAGATATTTTTAGTACCAAAATTATATTATTTATGGTGACCTGGATGTATATCTGATTGCACATGCACAAATGAGCCGATGGTACAGATTGTGCTTCCGGTACGGATCAGGAAGTGACAGTCAGCGCCAAGCCATCCAACCACTGGAAACATTTCTACATAGGAAACCGTCCATAACGCTCCTCGGCTGAAGCCCAAACACGCTTCAGCTGAATCTTCCCGCATTGGAAAAGCTCAGATCTCCTAAAAAAATATTAATAAATAGAAAAGTGACCCTGCTTCATCTTATCCTACAGAAGCACCAAATACCATTTCCCTGCTCAGCACCAATTTTCCATTTCCTAGGTGGTCTAAGCTGTCGACTGATTTTTTTACTGATTCCATTTGTTTCTTTTAAGGGACCAAAAACATTTTCTGTAGATTCTTAGCTGGAAGGTTTTTTTCATCCATCAAAAAAAATAATAATATGGATTTACAAAATATGATTAAAAATGTTGATATTAATTAGGCCAAAGACGTGCATAAAGTACATGCTCCTGGTTTGCTTAGAAGCTGAAAAACAGTCTTAGTTTTAATGAATTTAATCAATTAATTGCAGTCAGATGTCTCTGAGTTTGACCCGTCTGTTTTCATTCAGCCAATCAGGGGATCCTGCATCGATTCTGATCCTTTTTGTCAATTAACTGGTGCATCTCCTCTTCCTGCCGAAGGCCTGGCTGAATTTACAGCTTTGACTTCTCACTCAGCTCTGTGTTTGGATTGACAGCCACTGCTGATGCTGCCCAGCCTGCCGGTCAACCAAGCCCTGCTATGTGCTATAAAATACTCCGATCAGATCCCTAACTCATAAAAAAAAAAAAAAAAAAAAAAAGAATTGACCAGCTAACCTTTTCCCTTTCTGTACTATTTCATAAAAAAAATATAATAAGTACTTTTGACTGATTTTATAGTTATTTTAAAACTTTGCAAGCCATATCTTATAAAATTATGCTTTACTATTCTCTCTCCATTTAATTATTCCTAAAATCTATTCTTAAACTTCATCAATGTTAAATATTTGTTGTTAGTTTTATTAAAATGCTGTCATTTTTTTTCTTGTTTATTCTGTTTGATTATAATCATATATTTTCTCACCAATCTGTCAGTTCTCAGCCTCAGTAAAACACAATAAGCCTCTGCTTATAAAGCTTTATTAATTGGCTGATTGATTTACCACCAACTCTGCTATTAAACAAACCAAATCCATTTAAGAATGGATGATAAAATGGTTTAGCAAACAGCTTCACCTACAAAGCCAACCTGAGCTGCCTTCTGTTCAAATCATTCAGGTATAAAAGCCTTTACTTAACTTTAAGCAGTGATGTACTCTCAGAGATAAAATGTTAAAGAAAACAAAGACAAAATTTGACATTTTAATCTGTTAAGTGGAAAGATTTTCAGGCCTAGACCTTCTTGCGGGCATACAGCATCAATCAGAACAGCCTCATTTCATCAATTCAGACATCTGAGGTCTGGGTGGCTGAGTTATGGCTTCCCTACAGCCTTACCTTAGGCATCTCCATGAAGCTGGGCCTGGCTGTGGATATGAGTCCCAGAGTTTTCAAAGAGCAGTTCACCAGCTGAGAGAGGATGTCACACGCTGCCTCTGCAGACTCTCTGCTGCTGTCCACCTGCATGTCACACTCAGAAAGTTAAACCCTCTCTTTGAACAGCGGACGTGAATCCATCGCAATGTGTGCACTTTAACTGAAACCCTCTACCTGTCTTACCTTGAAGCTGACATACTGGAGGTGGTTGGAGTGTTTTTTGATGATCTGTTTGATTAGATCTGGGTGTGTGGCCTTCAGGTAGGAGCTGGCTGGCTGGTTCAGCTCAAACTCAAAGCAGCGCCACAGCTCTGGCATGTGGAAAGCCTGATTCCAGCCCCGGCATACCTGGAGAAAAATACACTCATTAGTAGAGAAATCGGATTTAACATGAAAGCTTTCTGACTTTCACACCAAAATAAATGTCCGACTTTACTGAAGGAGACAACACCAGCTACAAGTGTGGGCAGACTGGGATTATGATCTTAAGCCACTTTAAGACACTCTGAAAGCACGTCTGCTAGGCCATAAATGATGAAACCAACCGTATCTGCTCCATTGTTCCATGAAATCTTCAGTAAATAAAGGTGTGACTGCCAGACTATACTGGAATTTAGGCTTACATGAAAGTTCCCAGGGATTTATTATCAGCAATCAATTGCCTACCTTTCACCAATCAGAGTGATGTCAATCTGAACCTTCATAACGGTTGTATAGCCCTTCACACCTTGATGATTTAGACAGCGCATGCCAGACATACAAAAATTCTGGCAAAAATGCTGGCATACGTTGGATAAGTTATGTGTACGTTTTATATAAGTTATAAGCATGCTGAAACACGCTGGCACACGTCGACATACGGCAAGTACGTCAGGGTTTGCCAGCGTCGGCCACACGTGGGGCATAAGTTACAGGTAAGTTATCTGATCGTTGACATACGTTAAGTCTAAGTTACTCATAAGTCATTGCGTCCAGCTGATCCAGAAACAATGAGTAACTTGTGCATTACTGATGCGTAACTTATCAAGAACTTATCTCCAACACATATCAACGTATTTCACGTGTTCCAGACGTCCACTGAACGTGTTTCTAACATATAGCTACTGTTTAATGGCGTATTGACAGCGTTTTGGTAGTAGAGGGGGTTCACGGGAGGAAACTGTCAGTACTCCTCCAGACTTCATCCTCATCATAGAGAGAGCGAGAAGGTGAGTGTGATGGATCCTCCCTGCGTTCACGCCCACGACCAACAAGCCTCCTAGCAGACATGACGCTGCTTTTCTTTCTATTTCTTCTTTTTTTTTGGCAGGCAGTAAACAGCAGCTAGGTTAATCAAATCAATCACCCCGGGCGCATCGCTGCTCCCCTCCGTTGGACATAAATTCTGGAATATTATATGTATAGGCCCAAAATTGAAAAAAAAAATACATAGAAAGTTCAGCGTATGCCAGCGTTTTAGAACATTCTGGGACGTTGGTCATACGCTGCTAAATCTGCAAGGTGCGACAGGGCCCCAGTTCAGTAATAGTTATGTCCAATATGTTTCACTCAGTACCACCTCTTGAATGTTGAAGTACCCTGCGAACCATCGCACACTCCTCGATTCATCACTTTTAATTTCATGTGAAAAAACCAAAGCACGGTAGTGCAGAATTATAAAGCGAAAGGAAAATGAGGGCTGCTTCTCAAGTTTGTTTTTTTAGAGATCCAATCACTGTGATATGCAAATGATTACCTTAATCCTGACTAAATCCCTCCTAACCTGAGAAAATTTTTCATTGCAAAAATACCTCTAGCTCAGATCGACTTCATGGACCACGATCAGTTAAATCTAGACCTAGACTTTGACTAGGCCATTCTTTACTGCTTTTCCTGTATGCTGATGTTTTTGTCCCGCCATGAAGTGAACATTTAAACAACTCTCTAATCTATCAAGGCTTACTAAAGAATATTTATCTCACTTCTAGCTCAATCTTTCTAGTATATCTCATATGACGCCAAAATGTGAAACATTGCAGTGGGGTAAGGACTTTAATAGTGATGATAATAATCAGAATATTAATGCAACATCTACAAAGAGCAGAATCAGTGTGTAATCAATGCTATAAGGATACCTGAGAAGCATAAGCCCTGTCCAGCAGCGGGAGGTACTGGAAAATGTGAAGCAGGAGCTCCTGTGGCAAACACTCCCAGCTGGCTGCCTCCTCCTCCTCCTCCAGTTCCTCCTCTCCCCCCTGCTTAGCGGACCATTTGATAGTCTTCTGACCCCCCCAGCTGGGGCCTCCTCCTTCCTCCTGCTCATTCTCTTGGAAACTTCGTTTCATTCTAGGAGAATGGAATATTGAGTTTAAAACAAACCACTGGCAGAATAAAATCATCAATCCATAGATCACTTTACACTCAGTTAGAGTCTTGGAATCAGTATGAAAGAGGTCGTTATATTAAAATTCACTTTGAACACTAACAGACCACCTTTAACTTTGATCATTGCACCACCCGCCGCGCCGCTAAGTACGCTGGCGTGTGAAAGAGGCGAACCCACTCTATCTCTCGCTTCACAATGAAAACATTTGTACTCACAGGTCACGCCTCCCTCTCAATTTCAACACTAAAACATGTTAGATACAGTTGACGCCGAAAGTATGTCTAAAGCCATATCAAATGGACAGAAATGTTTATTAATGTCGATAAAACAGACGTTAAAACACACATACACAGGGATAACTAGCTTAAAAACACGCTGTGGTTTAGCTAACTATTATTAGCAAGTTGCTAATAAAAAAAAGTAAAGTAAAAAAAAAAGAGAGATAGAAAATCAATTTAAAACAAAGTTTATCTTTTGAGTTTCACTTTGTCTGTTTATCTCACCTGGCTTTCAGCTCCACTGTTGGTTGTTTATTTACAGCGGATCAACCGGGACCGACAAAATAAAACTGCGTACGTGCTGGCCAAGCGATCAAACACATTGGACCGTACGACAACACGGTGTTAGCCGAACTTTACTGAACACCAACACCAAAGGGTTCCTAGTGGAGATCTTCAAAAAAGTCTTCGGGTTTTCCAGACGCCTGACCTAGTTTCGACCCAATAACTCTGCTTCAGTGCAGCACCCTGTCGGCCAAAGATGGCGTTTGTGTTGCTATACGGAACAGGGCGCTGCAGCTATAGTGAACGGTCAGCAGGGGGCGCACGAGTCCCCCATAGAGGTGTCAACAAGAATCTCTTCTTCTTGAATTTTTTTATGGCGGTTAGCAGAAACGTTAGGTGAGCATTACCGCCACCAACTGCTAAGGGGTGTTACATGATGTGGTTGATGGAAAGAAATAACTATAACATAGCAAATGTTTTATATTTATGGAATCAGAAATGTTTTCTGTCTTCCTACTTTATTTCTATTTACTAAATGTTTAATACACAGTCATACATGTAAAGACAATTTCTGAAGGGAATGTAAAACCACAATACCATTACAGTGCAATACTTGCTCTGATGTTAAATGTAATTTATTAATAGCTTTTTTATTTTTATATTGATTTTTAACTATCTGGGAAAAAAAGTAACATGATAGCCTAAATAGAATATAATGCATTCAAAGCCAAATAATATCAAGGAGTTTAGGACAGGGCAGCTTGTGATAATGTCAGAGATAGAGACCGTCCCGAGAACTTTACCACAGAGTTTATCACGTTTGAAATTTCTTCCATGTTAAAGGGATTTTAATATGGCTAAAATATAAGTCTGTTTACTTTATTCAAGATATTTTAAAACCAGCTGCATCTCTTCTTTCCTTTCATTTTTTAAATATAAACCTCTAATTTTTATTATTCATGTTTATTCTCTCTAACTTCAACTTTATGACAGTGCAGTGTGCTTTTTCTTCCTCCTCATGTAAATCATTTTGAGTAGTCATGCTAATAAAATGTTCTATAAATGTAAACTTGCCTTGCGTTTATGGGTGAATAAACTAAAAGTTAAAAAAGGAAACCCTAAACAACTATCCATTCAAATGGGAAGTTAAGAGCTGTTAAAAAATGTAGACGCAAAATCCTTTGGACGCTAATATTCTGACTGAATAACACCGTCTGATTAGGATGACCTCAAACATTCAGATGATCCTCCTCTTATGTCTGTTGGTTTCATCTGTGTTGTAAGTTTTGTGTTTTCTTTTTTCCACTTATATGTGAAACTAAAGATGTTTTGGTGGATCTCCATATTGCCCAGAATATGGTTTTATAGTAATAGTTGAACTTTATTGATCTCACATTGGAGAAGTTTACCTCTGCATCTAACCCATCCACTTGGGGAGCAGTGGGCTGCCATTGTGTGGCGCCCGGGGAGCAATCAGGGCTTAGGGGTCTTGCTCAGAGACCCAGAGTGGCAGTCTGTTGAAGTGGGGCTCGAACAGAGAACCTCTGGATTCCAAGCTCTATCGCCTAACCACTAGGCACCCTCTCTCCTCCATAACCCCAAAATTAAAATGTTTAAAAACAATCATTGAGTTAAAAGCTTAAGTGTTAACCAGAGTGAGTTTGTAGAGATGTCAAAAATCATAACCAAATTGCTCCTGAACAGTTTTTTTAGTGATATGATGATGAAAATCTTAACTGCAATTTTAATGCCCCAAATCTCTCTTCTTCAGTAATTTTCACCAAAACTATTTTGCTCTGCAGTGTAGAGAACAATTTATAAAGATAAAATGGCAAAGCTGAGCCTTTAGTTAAATCTCACTTTTTATGCAAAAAACTTCAGGTAATATTAATGTATAACTTGATAAGCTGATGCATAGTAAACAATGTTTTTAATGAATATATCAGTCATTGTTTAGATATTTACTTTAACATCATTATAAACTGACATTGTTAAAGGGAATAAAAAAACAAAACAGAAAACTGTTCAAATCCCTTGACAGTAGATGTGTTGATATAGAATCTGGTGTTTGTGTTTTTTGATGAGTGAGGCCTGATGTTCATTATTCCTCCCCTGTTGTTTCTGGCTAGTTTCTTGGCAGCAAAAATACCAGATGAGGAAAAAGAAAGGCAAAAGTCCCAGAAATTATGCCCAAAGTTTGAGCTGAAGCTAAAACAGAGAAATATTAAAATGGGACGGATTTGCAGATTGACATTCCACCCAGAGGCAACAATTTAGAAGACAGGTAATTCAAATTCAGTAGTTAAACATATATCTTTTTTTATAAAAGTTTCTATTTTTTCTTGTTTTTATGGTTTGTAGTTATGATGTGTAGGCCTTTCCAACAAGCTAAAGGTTAAACTCTCTTTCATTCATTATCAGCCTTGAGACATTTATTAAATTCACATTCTGCCACCTGAGAACATTTTCTAAAGACAAACATCCGTCAAACAAATAATACACCCCTGATGTGCATAAAGTCAACACAGTCTGGCTTCATGAATACATCTTGCCAGTCTGAAAACAGAATTTATGACCTCCAAGCCACACCTCATTGTTATCTGACACACACACAGCATTTAGAAAGCCGTAACAGAAAGATAGTTTACTTTGCTGACAGGCCTGTAAGGAAGTTCAGGGTTTTCAGCGTGACAGAAAACAGCTGACCTCCATCTTCTTCCATTCTCCATGGAGGTGTCACAGCACAAAGGTTAGAACCATAACTCCTCTGAAAAGAGGCAGCGTTTGAAAGCCTAGACGTATTAATCCATTCAGGTATGCTCTTGGACCATCAAAGCAGCACATGATGAAAGGTTTGGTGAAAAGTTTAGAGGTCATATGCTCCAGGCCAACTTGTTTCCTTTAGAAAGAGAAGGAAAAAAAATGATTCCCTTTCTTCATCAGTGGCAGATGCTGTTTTAGATCATGGCTGCCATAAACAATCTGAGGGTTTTATTATCCTGATCTATTATTCTGTGGTGTGCAGAGCAATGTAATCTGGGTTGCAGTGCGTCATTAGATCATGAGATAAAGCAAGAGAACATAGTTTCAGTTATTTAAAGTGCAGAATCATGTTACCTCAGCCTACAGCTTGCTTTTGCCTTTCTTAGACGATACTGCCACCCTGTGGTCGAATGAATTATAGCGTTTAACTTTTTTTTTTTTTGCAGTTTCACTCTGATGATTTAAAAATTAAGTTACACATTTGGCTTTTGTCATTTTCACACAGAATTACAGTTTTAACCTGTATGACCTTAGAAGTCCAAATCTCTTCGGCTCACTTTGTATCGATGATCTAAACAATGAACTGCTGCCCTGTTTGTTTTATTCTTTTGTTTGGTTCGCCCATTTTTTTTTTTTTTTTTTAAAAAGGCCTATCCTGGCCTCCTGGCAAAGTTAGTCTAGAATATGGGTCTGCAACCTTTGGCCCTGGAGCCTAAAAATGACCTAAACAACTAATGTACTATAATAACAAATACCAGTCTTAGAAACTTTAGCTATTTTTATAAAGAATATGTGAATTTTCCCAACAGAGTGAGATTAAAAGAACCAGAAATATGCATTAGAGCCATTTTTCTTTTAATTAGCAGAGATTTTTTTAATGCTTTTTTTTTTTTTTTTTTACATCAAATAGCTTATAGAAAAAAAATCCATGCTTCTTATTGAGCCACTTTAATTCTGACACCATTTCTAAAAGTTAAAATAAAATAAAGTGTTGGTTTTTTTAAGGTGGCAACATATTTCCTAAGAAAGATATTTAACAAAAATAATAGGTTGTTAAAAAGTAATATTTTGCTGTTTGAAACAATATTTATTAGCCCAACTGAGGGAGAAATGTCTCTTTTGATTTGAAATGTTGCAGACCCCTGGTCTAGAACCAACACTGGTGTTAGGCCTAAAGGTAAACCATTTAAACAAACTGGATCCCAAAAATAAAATCCATTATAAGCCGTACTATCTTAGGTAGTATTTTCACGAGTTATAGCAACTTGATTTTTAAAAAAAGCAGGAAATTGCTCCATTGATCTTCCGTTATGGTCTAACCATCACATTATTAATTAGCCATATCTATTCCCACCTAACAGTTCTGGAAAGTTTCCTTTACCAATATACTGTTTATATTTCATCAAGCTCATGTGTTTTGAACAGACATTCATATTATTTTTATAAAACAGAAGGGGGAATAGCATTTGGGCTTCTTGGAGGTGGAAGTATCATGGTTTGGACATCATTGAAAACACTGCTGTTGACAGAAGCTGAAAGCGGCGTTGAAAACCAGTTTTTATTATTCAGACCATAACTATAATTTTGGACCATATTTCACTGTGACCATAACATTTGATTAATAGCACATGTTTGAATTTCCTTCGAGTTCCCTTATTGTGCAGCTGAAGCTGCATTTAAACATACAATTGACCACAAACAATCTTTAAGACTTCACCAGGTCTTTCCAAATAGATTACACAGGTGATGAGGTTCTTTTTTTAAGCAGATCAAAATGAAAATGTAGGTCGGATCCAACTGTTCATGGCAGGTTACCAAGTAAAACACTGAAACAAACACCTGGTGTTCTAGATGAGGAGGAGGAAAGGGCTGCAGAGATGCCATCTCTTGTAAAAGACAGAAAACAAAGAATGTTTTTGTTGTATTCCAGATGAAGACCTAACGACTGTGCACACATTAGGACAGTATAACAAGGCAACCTGACTGAACAAGAACCGAAGCAGTTTTGGTATTATTTCATGCTTCCAAAATATTTGGAAAAGTATTTAAAAAAATCCTGTTCTGTTATATATATTTTTTTTCATAATTTGGGGCTTTAACTCTGTAAGACAGACACAGAAAGAAAAGGAGCTCAAATATCAAGTCTGAACATGTAGCATCGCAGCACAGGAAAAAAACAGCCCAAGGAATCCGTTCTTCAACGCGGTCGCGCTGAATCACCTTCCCTCGCGTTCCTCCCTCCAAACTGGTTTCTCATCTGTGCTTCTTGTTCTCCTAGAAGGCCGCAGCCCATCCAGGCTCTCAGTGCTTCCAGGTGTGGCTCGGTTCCTCCAGTCAAACACCAGACTGTAGTGTGAAATGTCTAATCTCACGTATGGTTGCTGCTATTAGTTAACTGTCTCTTTGTGGGAGAGTCTCTCACTCTCTGCGCGGCACAGTGGACGTGGACAGGCACTCCCCCTGGCAGGCAAACCACGCTTGGCTCGCTGAAGGTGTTGTGGCACAGGTGGCAT